AAATCGTACGTTCTCGCCTTGTAAACTCTAGAACTCTCACTGTACCGCTGCACCATCGTTACGATTCATCCTCCGAAGTTCGGAGTGTCGCTACCGTTTTTGCAAAGGCAGACGCGCGCGACGCCAAAGCGGCCGAAAGCGCGTTTGTCGCCGTCGATCCGCACTGTCAGGTAGGCGAATGAGAAAACCGTGAGGCAGGTTATAAACGCACCTGTAGGAAACCCGCGCCACGCCGGCACTGACGAAGGAGATCGGTCTTTGGCGGGCGGAAAGGGGGGTATGGTCCGTGCACCCCGCCACCAGCCAGAGGCACTCACAGAGAGATCGAGTCTCGGTCTCTGTCTTTCACTCGCTCTCCCCGTCCTCCTCGATCTCTCCTTCAGCCACGTTCCATCTTTCTTCTCCGTCTTTAAGTGTCCCGCTTCCACCTTCGACTTCTTCGTTCCTTCGGTACTCCGCCTTACCAGCGCAATGTTAGCCTCCCCGCGCGTTCCCACTGTCCTTCGGCGTTTCCCTTTTTCTTTTTTTCCCTTTCCGTCTCTTTCTACTGGCAGCAGCCGCCGACGCCCAGCCGGTTTTACACCGGCAAATCGATTCAACCTTACGTACGTCTCGCTGGAACGAGTGCGGTTCTAGTTCATGGATTGCGGAATTTGCTCCAGTTGGATAGAATAAGCGGCGCGATTATATTCGTCGTAGATGAGCCGTTGCTGGGTTGATTTGCACGAGACAGGAATTTCTTGCTGCTACTGAATGGCCTTTTTTTGTCGTTTAACCGGCTTTTTTTATGTCTATGAAGTAATGGACTTTTAGATCCATAGAGAGAGAGAGAGAGAGAGAGGGAGAGAGAAACGCGACGACCACTTACAACGATTGGCTTCTCATTTAGTTCAGCATTGCTATCGTTTTATTCTTGTCAGGCGGAATAATCGCTCCAGATGTGTTCGACACTGTAGACTTTCTGTAATAAAGTTAAAACATTTTCATTTATTTACGACAGATCTTTAAACTATAACATAAAATGTACGCGACGTTAATTTTATAGCTACAATATACTTTATACAAATATATAGTGTGTTCGTGTAATTAAACACGATTGATTTACATACGTTCGATTTACATACATATCTATAATAAATTATAATATTATTTTCCGTCATTTTATTCAATTCATTTTATATCTTATTGTATTATTTAAATTAATTATTCTCATGAATCCTAAGATATATTATAATTTGTAAATAAATTTTATAGAAGTTAGTAATGACGTTTATTTTTGAGCAAATTCAAGTGGAGCAAATTTGATATATCGATCGACGAATCCCGTGGATATCAGATCGAACTTCTCAAGTAATACTACCGTCAGCTGACTCAGGCCAAGAAGTCGGCTAAAAATGTTCCCTTACATTCTTGTATTCTGTCGGATACATTAAGAATACAGTCTCACTTGCTTGCAAAACACTGTCGATATAAAGTGCGATATCTTGTTTTCAGTCATAAGTAGATAATGATAAAAAAAAGACGAAAGCTTGTTATCGAAACACATAACGGAACTAAAAGTTGGACTAAAAGTTTAGTCCTCTTTCCGCCCACCAAAGACTGATCTCCTTCGTCAGTGCCTGCGGGTTTTCTACAAGTGCGTTTACAATCTTTCTTTATTAATAAAAGTAGCGTATATATTTTTCTTTTGCCTCAGCAAACTCTTGGCGACTCTTCTTAATGGCTGCTTTTTTATCGCGTTTTTTTTTATTGGCTATTTCACAATCGCCAATAAAATCCTGGATCTAATTGATCTATTCGATAAATTTA